CAAGTTGTCACAGAGAAGATGATCATGATCTTGGAACTATTCTTCATGACTTTCTTCATTGCTTGAGCTTGTATGCGTGCTTCGTTCATCTTTCAATTTACTTGGTCGTTTTTCATTCATGAATACTTGGATAACTTATCGGGGATCTGGCTCCCCACCTAGACCGCGAGGGGCGGAAAGTCAACAAGGTCGACCTTGACCGCGCCCTGCTGGTAAGGCGGGGCTGACCTGCACACTGTCGGTCTAGGACCAACGAGTTGTGCAAGTTGTTTGGCCATCGATTGGACAACGGATGTACGAGAGGGGCTCGGGACGTGACCTCTCGCATACCTTCGACCCAAAGGTCGGTCTTACACCGCCTTGACTTGTACAGCTAGTTTCACACTTATGAAATATTTTGGTTATTCCCTTTCTGAAAGTCGAACTGAAGTCGGCCAAACGCAAGGGCAAGGCCCTGCATGATCACACCAGAACGGACCCGCACCGTTGATCCTGTCAAGCGCGTATGCGGGCTGCTAAGCCTAGCAACGTCAGACAATGGATGTATGAAAAAGGGCTCGGGGCACAACTTTTCGCATTCCTTCGGTTTGAAGACCGGTCATATAGTTGTCGCATCGTTGATTGGATCATACGTGCATGTGAGCTATTTAGACAACAATGCCAGACAACGGATGTACGAGAGGGGCTCGGGGTGCGACCTCTCGTATACCTTTGCGACCCGGAAGCCAGTCTTACAATTGCCCTGACTGAGCAGCTAACCCCAAACTTAGAAAGTAGTTTGATCATTTCCTTGCCCGAGGGCCGAGCCGTGGTCGACTAAACACCGAGAGCGGGGCGTGATGTATATATACTCCTTTTTTTCTCTCTCTTTTTTTCTCTCTGTTTTTTTAGCCGCCGCCCGTTTAATCCAAGTGAGGTTGGACCACATCAAATTCAAGATTGAAAAACGAAATATATACTTATTTTAAGTAATGAAAGAATTTGAGAACTTGAGGAGTTGCTCCGGTTCTGCACTTGATCTACAATTTGTGATAAGACTCATAGAACGTGAGAGAGTTGGTCTGCAGTCCACTCTTCATCAAAGACTTGCAGTACTCCGCTCTTAGGATTAGAGAAGGTTCCCGACACTCCGCACTTGATCTCCAAGCTTGTATTGCTCCGCTCATAGAATCTGACAAGGTGCCCTACGCTCCGCACTTGATCTAAAAGCTCGAAGTGCTCCACTCATGGATTTTAACCAAGTGTCCTGCAATATACACTTGATCTAGAAGCTGCCTCTTTGTAGTCTTCAATTTGTAAGATAAATCGGGAGCACCACGCCGAATTTGATCTCCCGTTCCTTCTCCCGTGGTTGACCTGGATTTCTTAGACTTCAAAGGTGGGTTCAGTACAAAGCTAACCCTCCAACGTACTTTGTATCTTTGTTGATGGAATGGGCTATGAGGTCCTCTGCCTAAGCTGCTTACACGCCTTTGTGTAAAATCTTGTACCCCTTTGACAACGATTCTTCCACGCTACCGTGAATTTATGCGTCATAGTGCATCTTCGTATTATCCGGAGGATGTCTCCATATCCACAAGAATGGTGTGACTTGAATGCTTATGCACCTTTTCCTGTGGTGTCAACCTCTAGAACCCTTGACCCAAAGCTTCTAGAACGCGGGTGGCTTCCTGGAACTCTTGCAAACCAGCATGAAGTTGTGTCAGCTTCGTGCGCGGAGCACAATACGGCTCACCTCTTAGACGATCACGGGCAGATTGCCCGTTACGACCGTGACCCAGTGTACCCCTCAAGTCTCCAGGATTCGACAATTGATTCCACAAGGGCGTGCCGACCTCCACGTCCCAGAACCATCCACTGGCACCATGATGAAACATTGTTGTCAAAGGGGCACATACCTTGTAACGTGGAGCTGTTACTCGAAGGCATGGAAGCAGCGTTGCTAAAGGGGTACATACCTTGCAACGCAGCGGCGTCCAAGAAGGAGGCCCTCCCGAAAACACTCGTCCCGGGAAGGAGGGAAGCACTGTTGCTAAAGGGGTACAGACCTTGCAACGCGGAGCTGTTACTCGAAGTCCTGGAAGCATCGTTGCTAAAGGGGTACAGACCTTGCAATGTGGAGCTGATCATGAAGGTCCAGAAGTACCGTTTCTAAGGGGTTACAAACCTTGCAACGCAAAGCCATTCCACAAGGGCGTGTCGACCTCCACATCCCAGAACCATCCACTTGTACAATGATGAAGCACTGTTGTCAAAGGGGCACATACCTTGCAACGCGGAGCTGTTACTTGAAAGCATGGAAGCAACGTTGCTAAAGGGGTACATATCTTGCAACGTAGCGGCGTCCAGGAAGGAGGCCCTCCCGGAAACACTCGTCTCAGGAAGGAGGGAAGCACCGTTGCTAAAGGGGTACAGACCTTGCAACGCGGAGCTGTTACTCGAACTCCTGGAAGCATCATTGCTAAAGGGGTACAGACCTTGCAATGTGGAGCTGATCATGAAGGTCCAGAAGTACCGTTGCTAAGGGGTTACAAACTTTGCGACGCGAAGCCATTCCACAAGGGCGCGCAGACCGCCAGGCTGAGGCAAAAGACGCCAAGCAGAGTAAGAAGGATGAAGGAGGAGGAAAGAAAGAAGACAAAGGGAAGTGTGATTACCCGGAAGACGATAACACCGACATGAAGTTTTCATTCACACCGAGCAGTATGGACAATAATACAACGACCATCACGTGAGGAGCCAGGTGATGATGCTGACAGGAGATCTCTGGAATCAATTGTCGAATCCAGGAGACTTGAGGGGTACACTAGGTCACGGTCGTAACGGGCAATCTGCCCGTGATCGTCTAAGAGGTGAGCCGTATTGTGCTCCGTGCACGAAGCTGACACAACTTCATGCTGGTTTGCAAGCGTTCCGGGAAGCCACCCACGTTCTAGAAGCTTTGGCTCAAGGGTTCTAGAGGTTGACACCACAGGAAAAGGTGCATAAGCATTCAAGTCACACCATTCTTGTGGACATGGAGACATCCTCCGAATAATACGAAGATGCACTATGACGCAGAAATTCACAGTAGCGTGGAAGAATCGTTGTCAAAGGGGTACAAGATTTTACTCGAAGGCATGGAAGCAGCGTTGCTAAAGGGGTACATACCTTGCAATGCAGCGGAGTCCAGGAAGGAGGCCCTCCCGGAAACACTCGTCCCGGGAAGGAGGGAAGCACCGTTGCTAAAGGGGTACAGACCTTGCAACACGGAGCTGTTACTCGAAGTCCTGGAAGCATCGTTGCTAAAGGGGTACAGACCTTGCAATGTGGAGCTGATCATGAAGGTCCAGATGTACCGTTGCTAAGGGGTTACAAACTTGCAACGTGAAGCCATTCCACAAGGGCGCGCAGACCGCCAGGCTGAGGCAAAAGACGCCAAGCAGGGGAAGAAGGACGAAGAGAGGCCATGGCCCGCAAACTCCAACTATACTGTCGGAGCTAAATACACCATTAATGGAAATCGGAGACCGTCGAACTGCTAGTAAGAGCCATTTGAGCTCAGGACTGTCCTCCGGTGGCTGCTGGATCGGTCCGCGTCGGGACTGCCAATCTAACCAGATTCTTCCGTTCATCCGGATCCTCCAAAACTCTTTTCTTTCTTTTTCAGTTCATTTTTCCCTGAATTTTCTTGTGGTTCCTACTCGAGCGATATGAAAGGCAATAGAGGCTCTCAATGAAAGCACCAATGTTGGTCCAAAATAGGACGCTCGTAGGCTTTTAAGAAAGCTGCGTACGACACTCAAGCGGGAATTAGGAAAGCAAGAACGAGAATGGAAAGTAGCTAGGAGATTTAGTTGCCAGAAATAGCATGTAGAATTCGCCTCCTCTAATCTGAATTACAACCCGCCTTTTATAGGCGTATACAAATCGTAACCGCTATCGATAATAATGACTAATTAATTACAACATTAATACGGAATTAAATACATAATTAATAGCGCATTAATCGTTTGACCGTTACTCTTCCGGGTTGGGATGTCGACCGGACTAGCAGGCTCCCCGCTGAGCTGGCAGACTCTAGGTTGTGGACTTGGATCCACGAGTCCAAGTTCGGAGCTTGGGCTGATTAGACTTTGGGCCTAGTCCCATTACTTCATCAAGCTAAATTACATACTGCCCGTGCATCGTACGAGCTTGAAAGCGAGTAATTGATTAAAAGGGAAAATGAAAAAGTTTTAAGAGATGAAGGGAGTACTTAACCGAGAAGCCTTATAGGAGAACTGAACTAGATCGAACCGTTATGACCCGGTTAGTAGGGGAGAGCAAACCCGACCCTACCCGATTCATCCGATCAGATATATCCGATTTTTTTGTTGGGATCGGAAAACCCGACCCAAAATACCCAAACCCGATCCGATTTTTGCAACCCGAGACTTAAGCGGGTAGCGGGTAGGGTTACCAATTATGCTACCCGACCCGCCTGAAAACCCGAAATGACATAGTATATATACTACTTTAAATTATTATGCATGTTCAAATATCTCAATTATTATTTGTCGATTATCATATTATGCATGTTCAAATATTCCAATTACCGTATTAGTACAACTATAACTTAGAATGTTGTATTGTTATGACTTTGAATGATATTTTGACCAATTATCATTTTATTTATCACAATATCAATTATGTCAATCACCGTATATTATTATTTTACATGTTCAAATATGTCGATTACCGTATTTATACAACTATTACTTTGAATGGTATACTAGTATAACTTTGAATGATATTTTTACAAATTACCATTTTGTTTATCACAATTTCAACAATAATAAATTAAAATCGAAATGGACCCGAAACCCGAATCAACGCGACCGCAACCCGAATTTCTTGAACCCGAAAAAAACCGATAATTTTTTTGATAAAGTAGGGTTTGAAATTATCAGTCCGATACCCGAACGGGTTTATCATTTTTGAACCTGACCAGCCCGAACCCGATCCGTGCTCTGCCCTACCCGTTAGGTTCCAACATCTATTAGATACTGTAATAAAGAATTGTCTTGCTCCGTGGGGTGAACAATTTTGGTTTGGAGAAGCCAGAGAGGATGAACGGCGGACAAGACGAAGCGAAGGGATTTCTGTGGAAGCTACCCGTGGTTAAGTCCAAGGAGTTAGGAAAGCTCGGTCCCGGTTTCGGACTCGGCATCGGGTGTGGTTTCGGGTTCGGCGTCGGCCTCATTGGAGGTTTGAAATTTCTTCACTCCGGCCATCTTGAATACATATTTATTTATATTATCTTTAATTTGGAGTGACATTATGTACTTTACATGTGGTTGGCTGTTAAAGGAATGGGGTTCGGTCCTGGGATTCCTGGGTTGCAGATCGGGTTTGGACTGGGTGCCGGGTGTGGTGTTGGATTAGGGTTCGGGTACGCTATCGGACGGGGCATTGGGTATGATGACGAACGCAAACACTCCAATGTTGGCTGGTCTTTCCATCGCAATGGCACTTTTCCCACTCAGTAAGTTTCCCTGCCGGAAAGTTTAGCTCACTTCCTTTCATGCATTATGCTGTTCGATTAGTACTAATTAAAAATTGGCTATCACTAATGTCTCAACTTTTCTCAAATCTGCCTACTTCATGCGGGCTATTCCAATTCTTTTGTATGGTTAGTGTGTCTACTCACCTCTTATACATTGAGTTTCGAGTCTATCAAACATGTCTGTTTCTTATGTTGATAAATGGCATGCATTTTGAAGCATAATGCTTAGTTAGTAGCTACTGTATGCTCTTCAAGTTATAGCTTTTGATGTTTAGCTATATATTTGGCCTATGTTGCACGGAAATGTAGGAAACATGGGAAAATGTGAATTAAGAAACACCATCTTTTAATAAAAAAAAACCAGTATTTGTGGAGTTTCTAAAGAGTATCCATAGAGTTTTCAAAATGGAAATGTGCTCGTTCGCAAGATTTTCCCTGCTTCATAGTATTTGGCATTCGCCCCTTGCTCTTGAACTTCCCTACGTACCCTTTCTCCTTAAAATAGTTTCTGTTAAGTAATATCTTTTTCACAAATAAGTGGTCATTTAGCAACACAATAAAGTAAAACTTAGTTAAGTGACTAACTTGTTCTCTCATATTTACTGTATTTGATTGTTCTTTGCTACTTTTAATACCTAGGACTCAATAGAAGTTTGTTTGTCGATCTAAGAACTATTCTATCACATTACAACGTACAAGCCACATTTTTTCCTTAATGTACACATAACAATGAGGGAGTATTAAACCTAGATCATAAGTCATATCATCTTGCTTGGACCTGATTTCTGTTTAATTTCACCTCAAAACCAATGAGCTGAAGCATGGGTGGCCTTTGCAGTTTGCACCCTTTTTTGACACCGCTGACTTGGTGAGAGGCGACTAAATCATAGAAAAGCACTTTTTTTTTGTTTTCAATCAAGCTGTTATTGTGGGATTAGTAATAGCTTGTTAAAATGGCGTTTTCCTTTTGAAATTAGTAAGTACATGATAAAATATTCTTTTTCTTTTGATTAGTATTTTTCCCTAAAAATTACACCTCTATGGGATTATTGTGGATTAACCGTATGTACTGTTGGACTGAGAATTCAGCAGTATGTTTCGTTTAAATCTCAATGTGATCTTCACAGGGAACTCTGTGATTAACAAAAGAAAATGTTAAATGAAGAAACTTACTATTTGTCCCAAAAAAGAGCCTTGTTTAACCCCATGTTTAAAGACCAGACACGGTCCGGCCGGTCTGACCTGGAACCCGCCCACCCGTTCAGAAATGCGGGCCGGTTATTGCCCAACCCGTAAAACACCCAGAACTCAGAACAACCCGAAAACCCGTTAAACCCTTGTCAGACCCGGATCCAGAAATAACCGGTAAATTACAAAAAACCCGGAAATTGGACAATTTCAAACAAAATTCGGAGCTGGGAGTCGATCCCTAGTCTGCTGTCCACCACTCCGTACTACTCTCCAAGCGAACTACGCATATAGCTTTATTATACATATTTCTAATTACTTCCGTTACTATTCGTCATAAAGCTATTAACTAGCAAGTTCTTTTTTAAAAACAATTATTCAACACCACTAACGATACCAACTCATGTTATTGCTACAAGTGAAACATAGTCATATGCTATTTCTAAGATTTTGTAATAAGTGTAGATTTATTCATATTTATTTTTAGAAAAATGTACTCCGAATGTGATATACTTCGTATTTGAATATTTATTCTAGAAATAAAATCATTTCAAAATCATTTTGGAAAATTAAAAAAAAAATATCACTATCTCTATCAACTATCAAAAATATTATGTGTATTTTTCAATGTTTACTGACTACTTACATTATTTAATTACGGAGTACTACTTACATTATTTAATTATTATGAAGATGGAATAACTTATATGTGAAGTACTATATTTTTGATAAAATGTTTACTGGGTTTTCCAGATGTTGACCGGGTTGACCTGTGATCCAGTCACTCGGCCGGGTCAATCACCGCTCCGGTTTTTACAACACAGGTTTAACCCAGGTAGAACCGTAGAACGTTTCATTTTAGTAAGGTATAGCTGTTATATGCCATAAACCATACCTACATTTGTAATTCCTTTAATATTACAACTAAAAATTTGACAAGAAAGGGCTTTCCCCCTACACTTCCGACAAGGTGTTGTTGTGCGATTGAGAGGTCACGGGTTCAAGTCTTGCCACCTATACACCCTTGTGGTGGGAGTTTGGGACCCTTCTGGCCTGTCACCTTACTGGGACGTCAATGTACACATAACAACGCTTTCAACAACAATAACATTATTCCAATGTCGCAAAGGCTCACACTTACAGTGGGGTAAGGGGGTTGCATGTACGCAGCCTTACCCCTATACTAAAGCACAACGAAACTCTTTCCAGATGACCCATGATGAAAATCGCGTCAAAAATTAGATGGACCGGCTGACGCTTCATAACAAAGAAGCACATACGTAGCATCTCTTTATTATAACTAAATTTATGATCTTGAACTTGTTTGCTACTTCCATTAGATCACACTAGTTTTCCAACAAAAAAAGGACTTTAGAACAAAGCTCTTCTTATGGGATGAATGGAATATATTTTCTGATGCTTGGTCTAACTAGTTGGCATACTTGCTGGATGTCAGGTATGAGATTGATTCCCTAATTGATGAGCTTGTTAAGAGCACCAAGAAGCTGGTCAGGGAAACATCTCGCGAGGTGGACAAATGGAGGAGACACAATTAGCTTGAAAAACTTGTAATTACAAGTGTTGATAAAGTAAATGAAAGGTTAAAAGAACCCTTAAATGTAAAATATTTAAGGACTGAGGTCCCTTGAGAAAAAATGAAATTGTAGTTGGTTTCACTTTGTATATACTTTATGTGAATTTATATGAAATAAAAATGACATTCAGCGAGAATGGGAAAAAAATTGGTCGCTTAGTGTCAAATGTTGAAACTTTTACTTCCAATCTAACAAGGGTTTGGCAGTTCAGGTCTTTGAGTGGATATGAAGTAAAACTATTGTTAGACTGGTTGCAATCTAGGGATGAAAAAGGAGAAAATGGTCAAAATGATATATGAAGTTGTTTCGACGGGAGTACGTAGTAGTTCATCTTGCATTTGAAATTTTAAAGTACATGAACTTGTATTTTTATAGTCGATCAAGTGCATCTGCTCTGTTAGAGTGTTAAATAATACTATCTGTTTGTATTATACAGTTGCAATCCAAGTCATCAAATAAATCTATAAACTCTATTTTTCTCTTGTCCACTCATTTTTACCTTCGCTCATCATCTTATATTTTTCTCATCTACTCTCCTTTCTCCCCGCTTTACATCTTATATTTCTTCTGTCTGCTCGCCTTGCTATCTCACTTTCTTCTTTTTGCTCTATTTTATTTTCTTCTTCTCTTGCTATAAATTAGTCTATAATAAAGATGGACCGATAACAGGGAGAGTAGTCGAGAGAGAAGGAGAGCAGCAGGGATGGAGCTAGAGGGGGGTCAACTTGGGTCCTGGTCCACCCCAAATTAAAAAAAAAGCTTTAATTTTAAAGTAAATATTCTGTGTAATTTTTTTTCCAAAAAAAAACTTTGTAGTGGTTCAGTCCGACCTAGTGCTCTGGCTCCGCCCTTGACGAGCAAATGAGAGAAATATAAGATGAAGAGCGGAGAACAAATATGAAATATAAGATGAAGCGCAAATTATACCGTGGGATTGGCTCACCTTCCGCATGATGTGGTGATCCCACTTTAGGCAAGTGCTTTTCCCTTTTCTTTCTGGAGCAATGTTCGTCATTTTTTTTTTACTTTTCTTTCCTTATTTTTCTTTTGTTCAATTCTTTTCTTTTTTAATCAAATTAAAATACTAAAAATTTAATGGCGATCCTATTTTTCTTTTACTTCATCTTAAATTATAAATGAATCTATTTTTTTTATTATTTATCAATACATAACAAAAAGTTTATTAATCTAAATAAAATAAGTACATTAATCTAAATAAAATAAGTACGTTGCATTTCATATTCATACATTACTTTTGTTTCTGTAAGATTTTTTATATTCATATATTTTTTTTGTAATATACTTTTTATATTCATACACTTTTTTGTAATATTTTTTATATGCACACACTTTTTCTATAATATAATTTTTTTTATCACTTTTACATATTTTTAGAGATTTTTAAAACATTGAGTTTGTTTATTTTGATTCTTAAAGTTACATTTGATAATATATCATGAAGTCACATCTTCTTCTGCGCGAGGTACATCTTAATGTACGCGAGTTACATCTTAGTATACATAAGTTACATCTTAATATATGCGAGTTACATCACGGAATAAGGGCATAAATCAAATTCCCTACTAATATATTCATCCATCGAAAGTTTTTGTAATTAAAATCTTGTTTTTTATTGTTATACATTAGTTATTTTTAAAAAAATTATTGGAAAAGTAATTATTTTAAAAAATCAAACATTTCGATATAAAAATAAATAAATTTGGAATTTATTTTTTTATGCTATTCCATACCCATATTTGGAAAAACAAAGTGAAAGATATAAAAAACATATTGCGAATCTATTTCTTTTATGCTATTTCATATTCTGATTATGAAATGTTAATTTTATCATTTGAATCTATTTAATAAAGGTTTTGTGTTTACAAATCTTTAACGGTTAAAACTTCATACTCGTATATTTTTATTTTTTTTTTTCATATGCAATATTGATTTCAGATAATAAAAAATTTCGAATTTTGATATATTTTTTATAAAAATTGGAATAAAAATAAAAAAGTTATAGGCATTTAAATAAAAATGAGATTTAAATTTTGCATGGGCCCAACACTTTTCTATCATTTTCGTTGGTGGTAGCTCTCTCTTACTTCCGTCAATAAGACTGGTGATTCCCACTCTAGGGGTGGCCTAAACCCAAAATAGATTGGGTTGGAGTGAAAACTTCAAATATGGCATATTCACTTAGCCTTAAGGATGGCGGTGTGGAATGAGGGGCCTCTGTCAGAGTGGGAAGCCTATTGAGACTTGTGTTCCCTGGTAAAAAAAAACCTTTTTCGGTAAATCCGACAGCCAAGATTAATTGGGGCCCAAATATTATTTTAGGTAAATCCAAGGGTTGGAATTTAGATCTAACGGTTAAAATAATTAATTTCATTTCATTCTTTACCAAATTTTAAAGACTAGTTGATAACATGACTTCACAAAGAAGATATGCTAATTGGAGTTACAATGAAGATAATGTGGTCGGAATCAAAAGTGAGGGATTCACTTTGGTTCTGAGTTCATATGTTCTTTAGCCAAAACTATGATATCATAGTTCAAACTCGGGCACCGTTGAGTCACGCTTCAAACTATCGATCATAAATGTTTTTTTTGTGGAAGAGAAGATTGAGAAAGGCAAGTGCGACCCTAAAAGCGAATTCAATATAATGAATGTGGTACATTTAATTAATAATGCGTTTATGTGTGATGTAATACTTATGTAGTTATGTATACTGTTTTTTTTTGTAAAATTACTAGTGTGTTATATATATTTTAGTATGTTTTGTGTGTGTGTGTGTGTATTACATTTGTTTTATTTTTTGTATTTAAATCATCAAAAATAAGTTGAGTAAATTAATAATGTAATATTTAGGGATTACTTTGTAATATTCCATAACTCTGTTTTATTATAAATATACGGCTAAGACACCCAATAGGGTAAGCCATTATTCTCCAATTATACTTTTCGTATATGGTATCAGTCGCCTAGGTTTTATTTCATCTCTCACATATATGGCCGACAATCACGGCACCGCCGCCTCCCAGCCGGCGCCCTCCACGCAGGTGCGGCCGCTCTCCAGTTTTCAAGTCTCTCAGGCACCCTCAATTCCGGTGCAGCCCTCGACCGGTGTCGTTCCCCAGTTCTCCAGCACGACCTTCTCCCTTCACTCCGGTTCGAGCAGTGCGACTCCGTCCCCAGGAACGTCGCGTATGACGGAAGCAGCCCAGCCAACGTGGTCCCCACTTGCTCCGTCTCTCCGTCAACGACTTGGAGATTCACAGAATATTGATCCATATCGCCTGTTTGGAATGCCGCCTCCATTCACGTGGACTCCGACAGCAACCATGCCTCCGCCGCCAGTTCTGACATCGGTCCCGGAGGTGGTCCCCCCTCGATGCCCTATGCTGGTCCCACTTTTATCACGCAGTCAGTTTCGACTTCTCTGCTGCACGTGCCCACCTCGGCCGACTCGAGTAATCTCCCCCCCCCCCACAGCTCCTTTATCTAATTTGGCATCACAATTGGCGTTCTCCACGCCAAATGTGACTAATATTGTCACCACCCGACTGTCCGCTGTTGAGGATTACTTACCATGGTGAACCCAATTTGAGTCCTTCCTTGTATCCCACAGTCTTCTTGGGATTGTGGATGGTTCCATTCGGGTATCGACCACCATGGATCCGGACTATCCTCATTGGTTGAAGATAGACCAAACGGTTAGGTCTTGGATTTTTGTTACTCTTGCTAGAGATATATTGATGGAGGTATATGACCTAAAATTTTCTCATCTTATTTGGGCACGTCTTGAGACCCATTTTATGTCTGTCTGTTTTGCTCGGTCTGTTGAACTTAAACGTTCGTTGTCCCATATCAAAAAGAAAGAGTCACAAAACATGGATCAATATTTGTTAGAAATTAAACTGATGGCTGATGCTCTTGCTATGATAAATTCTCCTGTTACTAATCGTGAATTGATGGAATATGCTATATTGGGTTTGGGCCGTGAATATGAATCTCTTATCAACACCATCTCATATTTTCCGGGGAATGCTACACTTGAGACTCTTCGGCCCATCCTGCAAGCACAAGAGCAAAGACATGATACCGCCCCGTCCCAGGATAGTTCCACCGTCCACCAGGCTTTCGTAGCGGCTCCAGCTCCTCATGGCCGAGGGCCTGCTCCTCGTGGATATGGTGCAGGGGCACCACGGGGACACGGTGGTCGCGGCAACCGAGGGGGACGACCTCGGGGTGGTCGCGGACGCGGCGGCCGAGGCTATCCTCAGCATCATCAACAATTTTTGGGGGGTTATCCGGTGTATGGGGCACCCTACGGGCAGCTGGCTGCCCCACGTGGACCTTCATATTCTGGCAGCACAGGTTCGGTATTTGATAATGTTAGTTCTGGTTTTGGTTTTACTAATCACCTTCCTACTTGTGTTACTTATAATGTTAGTGCAGGTTTTCCTTCTGCTGAGAATTCCTATCCATCTCCTGCTCCGCCTGTTGTCTGTCAGCTGTGTTTCTCTCCAGGTCACTCCGCACTTACCTGCTCCCGCTTTATTGCTCAAAACACCCCTGCTCTCGCGGCTCTCCCCACTGGTGAGAGGCATGATTTGGTCTGGTATCCTGATTCTGGGGCTTCCGCGCACATGACTCCTCATGAAGGTATTTTATCTTCTAAATTTCCTTATACTGGCCCGAATCAAGTATGTGTTGCTAATGGTACCAAATTACCTATTTCTAATATTGGTCATGTTAAATTACTCACATCTGGTCGCCCGCTACATCTTAAATCTGTTTATCATGTCCCACACATTAAATACAATTTACTTTCTATACAAAAGTTGTGTGCGGATAATGCCTGTCAAGTAATTTTTGATAAAAATTCTTTTTCTGTTAAGGACAATCAAACGGGGGAGCTTCTTCTTCAAGCCACTAATATAGATCATGTCTATCCTTTTACCGCTTTCCAAGCCTGAGTTGTACCTGGTCAGGTCTGGCACAAACGTCTAGGACATTGTGGTGATAGAGTTCTTTGTACTCTTAGGCAGCATAAATTAATAACTAGTTCATCAGTTTTTACTCATGATTGTGTTTCGTGTAAGTTGGGCAAGTCCCACAGACTTCCTTTCAATGATTTTATTCATGATACT